TCGCAGCCTAAATGTAGAGGGGTTGACAGCTGTAGTATACTCCTAGTCCCATCGAATGGCATTTGCTAGATAAAATGAGGATGCGACATAATTAAACAAATATGCTCGGCAAACAATGCTTTTTGAAAACAAATTTATGATTATGTTACTGGAAAAAATGCAAGAATCAAAAAGAAGGGGATTTTCTGGCAAAAGGAGGATGTTGAAAAAATATTGAAAAAGAAGGACATGTCCTCCTTTAGGATACAATATGGTAACCCTAATTCCAAAGGAGTTCTAAGGAAACTTTCGTGGAAATTTCCAACGGAGTTTTGAAGTGACTTTTAAATGAATTCTTAGGAGAGTTATTTTGTTGCTTTTTCTGTAATATTTTTAGAGAACTCAAAAAAGAGTTTATTGGGAATTCTGTGGAACATTTCTTGAAATTTACGGGACTAATCCAAGCGCATTCTGTGTGGAATTTAGAGGAAATTTTGAAGGTAATTCATAGGGAATTTTAGGAGAACAGTTAATGAATACTGAGGAGAGTTTATTTCATGAAAATTCTTTGCGAATGTATTATGGAGCAAATTAAAATGGACTTTATTGCTTTAGGTTTCAAGCACTTTACAGTTTAATCCAAGATACATTTTTAAAACCTTAGGATTTTGAAAATTAAAGTAACAGTTCGAATTAAACTACAAGCCTGAAAATTTAGTGTTGCCAAAATCGAACGGTTTATATTGAAATTTTATTTATGATTTAGTTGATTTTGGACCACCGTGAGTCATCTCGATGACATATGCGTTATTAATAATTAATCTTTTATTAAACAATGTAATCACATGGAGCAAAAATACATTATTTTCAAAATCCGTTCGACTTTGGCACGGTGCCAAAGTCGAACCCCGTACCGAAAACGACCAATTTTGGTTTTTTTTGCCAAAATCAAACGGGTACTGTATTGCTATTTTAGACTTAGTAAGAAAGCGATAAATCGAACTTAATAAAACAAATTATTGTCTGCTGGAATTAAACTTATCATCCTTTGAAAAGTTACCAGTTCCTTCAAGATGTTGCACGCCTGTCTACGCCCTTCGGTATTGATGTTAATAACATAAAATGTTGCCATAACATATAAGTTTCACATGGAAAAAATAAGGAATGAGTAGATCTTTTGTTGTTAAATGATACTCCTGATAATAGCAGCTTTCTGTTAGAAATTAAAGAATTTAGGATTTAGAAATAAATTAAGTACTATTAATTCAAATTATGGTTATTCAAACAATGCATTTACAATTTTATCTGTCTTTGTAATTACATTAGAATTAGAATATATAATGAAATAACCAATTTCCTGGTTCTGCTAAGAATATGCTTTTAAACACACTATTTAAATTAAAACAAAGGCAAATTTTGATAGTTTTGATGATAATAAACAGTTTATGATACTACTCTGGAGTGTGTATTAGAGTGATGCAAAATTTGAAATTTTCGCTCCACAATACTTAAACGATTCCAAATCGGATCCTGACTAACCTCTCAAAATTTGAACCCATTTGGTGAGAAACTGAGATCGCACAAACCATTTGAAGTTTGTATGGGAATTACTTTGGTAAAACCAAGATTTTTGTTCATGTCTATCTAATAATTCATCATATCGGTTTGCTTTCAACTGTACTTGTAGGAAATTTTCCCAGCTACAACTTTGTTGAAGATCACTTCTTGATTAAATGCAAGGATCGAAAGTTATCAATGGTTCAATGCACTGATGTCTTATGATCATGCTCAATCAACTGCTCAGCAGGCAACATTGGTGTTTCTGGGGCGTTGAATAGGACACAAAAATCATGGCTACTATGTCACACTGCAAAATACAGTGTTGCCTACAGAACAGCTGCTTGATCATGTCATAAGATTACCAATCTGTTAAATAATTAATAACTTTTTCCTGTCTCGTTTTACATAGAAACAATCTTTAGCAAAGTTGTAGCTGAGAAAATTTTCTATAAGAATGGCTTTCGAACTGTTTCGCAGCTCAATATAGAAAAAGACTAGAAGGCAATGAACAAAAAGTTGAGATTTCCCATAGTAATTTACACGCAAACTTCAAGTGACTTGTGCGAAGTCTGTTTCTAACCAAATGAGTTGTAACTTTGGGAGGCTAATCAGGACCCAATTTGAAACCATTTAAGCACGGTGGAGCGAAAAAGTCAAATTTTGCATCAGTCTAGTGTGTATACACCCTGTCAAATCATTCAAATTTTGCTATTAGTAAAGTTATTGTCATTGCATTCTTTGATCATATATTAGAATTTTGACCATTTTTTAAACTTTTTAATGATTAATGGGAGTTAATGATTATTCGAGAGCAACCATGTATTTGAATGATTATAAAAATTCAGCGATGTAGGGTTTTTGATCTAGTTTCCGTCCTACTAAGCACAACCCACGCTTTACCTCAAGTTCTTGAACGAGTTTTAACAATAACTGAAATGTTTCTATCAAAGATGACTTTTAAACTTATTCCCCTTTCCATAAGTACCGTTGAATTTGATATAGAGCCACACATTGTTGAGATATTGTTAAAAATCTAACACTGCTTCTTGATTCCAAATTTGTCCTACGAGTTTCAATTCCGTCCAAACGCATTGAAACGCCAATGGCTTTTCTTCGTCCTATGGATGAAGGTAGAAAAAGCGAGTTTGCTATTAGGAATAGGCGATGTCGATGCAATTTTTACAGAATCGATTTTTTTGCCTCGAAAAATCGATTTTTTTCATCCGATCTTTTTCTGTTCGATGTTTGACAGAATCGATTTTTCAAAGTTGATATCGATTTTTTACTCATTTAAACTTTTTTTATAAAGCATTTAAAAAAAAAAACAAAACGCCTAAATTACCAAAGGAGAAAATAAAATCGCCGAACTCTTTTTATGTTGTTGTTGATTATGTTGAATCAAATGTTATCATTGAATTCTTGAAAAAAAAAGATAAACAAAATGGTATTTCACTATCCCAAAAATATGTTTTTTTTTTGAAAATCAAGCGATTTTAATTTCATCGTCCTCAAATTTTGCTAAACACCCTTTCAATCTTGGGCTTTATTTATTTGTTACTTTTTATGTTGTGTGTACTTTGGACCCATTCTTTCTAATTCATCCAGCTGATTTTGTTTGCAAAAAAAAACACGCACTCCTTGATGCAAAAAAACATTGGAAAGGTGAGTTTTAATACCTACACACTAAGATTATTTAACAGATTTCTGTAAAATTTTACCGAAATCTCAACAGCTGAACGTTCGGTAAACAATTTTACAGTTTTGCTGTAATTATTTACAGATATCTGTGAAAAATTCACAGATAATTGTGAAACATTACAGGAAATCTGCGAAACTGTTCAGCTGTTGAGATTTCGGTAAAATTTTACAGATTTCTTTAAAAATTTCTAAGTGTGTACAGAAGATTTTGAAAGCTCAGATATAGAGTTGAAGTTGAATAACACACTTAGAAAAAAATCATGTAAATTTAGGTGCTCTGAGCCTGACATATACGAGCGTCAATTTTGACATAAAATTGTGTCATAATAGACGTGAAATTCAACTCAATAAAACGTATTTTTCGTCGAGTAACGAACTTTTCTGTCTCGGAGCATTTAATTTTACATTACATGTTTGTTTACGTCTCATCTTTTATGTCAAAGATGGATTCCGTCACATGTAAAATTAGGTATTTCTAACTGTGAAGCTAAATATTCGCAATATTTCTTAATAATTCGGTTTCAATATTTAAATCGAGGGGGACGACTCTATCTACGATGTAGGAAATATTGTGATTTGCTGTGGCTAGCTGTGCGTACGCTGAGTAGATAGAAAGAAGATTTATCACGATTTGGGAGATTTCCTGCAAAAAGATGATGCGCGATGCAAGTAGATGCGAGAAATGAAAGAAGATTTTTAGAAGATTGATTAGCTAGTGTGAGATTTTTCGAGCATCTAGAATTGAGATTTAGATGTGTCGCCCCCCTCGCCAATTGCTTTTGTGAATTGGTTTTATACAAATAAATGCTCTCACACATACACTAAAACAACAGGAAGAGGAATATTACGTCTAATAAGCATAATTCAAATATTTAAAAAAATCGATTTTACTCGAATCGATTTTTTTTCTTTCGATATTTTAGAGGATCGATTTTATAGTCAGTTTTAGAATTGATTTGACAACATCGATTTTTTGTTTCAAAACGCCCATTCCTATTTGCTCTAAGAGCGCTTCTTTTGTTTTGAGAACAATGTGTGTAAATATTCACACAATATGCTCTAATAGGCTTTGTGTTGTAGCTTGTGAACTAACGCATCGGTACAAACGTGTTACTGATTTGTACACGGTAAAATCATTGATTATACTGATATTTTCTGCTCGATAGAACGGAAATGAACGGTTAAGACGAAGTAGCGCTCTATCCTATGTTTTTTGGTTATGAACTACAATTTTTCTAAAATATTGACTTTTGAGTAATGGAGGATCGTGACAGTTAATGCGTTTATAAAATATATTGTTCAGAAGCGAAAAAACATACATCACTGAAAATGTTCAAAATATCAAGCAACAAAATATAACGTGCAATAGGGTCTTTGGTCCCGAAACCATGAACATCATGAAAATCGATTATAATCAATGTTTTGCAATGTTAAACCAAAATTAAAGTCCATATTTATATTTTTCCATAAAACTAGATTTAATAATCTTTCATTTGATTTTTCGATCTAACAAAAACGGTCCAATGGTTCAAAAGTTATGGATTAAGAAAATAGGAAAACCATTGATTTTTCCGACCACCCTAACACGGAGGGATCAAAATTACCAATTGTTAGGAAATTCGAAGATCCACTCTAACTTTTTTCTATAAAATTGCTGATATATACTTGAGAGTTCAATCGTTAAGAAATCCCTTTGAACACCGGCTTTGGAATTCGAAAAAACAAAGATTTAACTACTACAGGCCATTCAGAGTTACACTTACCGACTGCCGGGACGATGCTGGTGCGTGTGAACGTGGGCCCCGTTCAGCTGGTCGCGGGAGCGGGATCTCGGCCGGGTGCGGCGCGTGCTGGACGCTATACTGTGCGCCGGGCCCCCGTGTACGATGGATCCGGCGTAGGAGGCCCGGGACATCCGTTCCGAAGCGGCCGCCAACGATTGGCGCGATTGTCGCAGTTCTGCGGATGCAAGATCTTATTTTGATTATAAATATCTAGATTGTCCTGTAGGGGCAAAGATGGACCCACCTGGTCGGGAGTTCACTAGGTTGCTGGGGAATGCCGATCCCAGGTAGCCCCGCTGCGAGTGGTTCGAGTAGCTGTGATGCGATTGACCGTCGGCAATGGACCGTGCCTTGCCGACCTTGCCACCGACGGCGGAGAAGTGCGACACGTGGCTACGCAAGTCATCCGGAATGGCTTGGTTCTCCATGGGGTAGATTCGGGGTCGCGGAATCGAACGGCCACTGTACGCTGAAACTTGATCCCAATCCTGTCGTGGCGAGGCAAACAATTTCCAAACAGTGGCAAGCGGAGAAAGAGAAGAGGAAGAAGAAGATGGAAGAAAAGTTTCGTTCCGGATTAGCGGGGACGGGTTCTGGTCTGTTCTCTCAACTCAAATGGAGCGTTAAATTGGGCTCTGTCGTCTATTTGTCAACCACCACCACCAGCAGCAGCAGCAGCAGCAGCAGCAGCATCGCCAACCGTATGTTTGTGTGTGCACCATCAATTCAACACCGTCACCAAGTGTAATTTGTTAGTTGCGTTTCCCTTCACCTCTTCCCGTAGCTGGGATAATGACGTTGATGACGATGATACTGCTGACTAGTTCCTTGACGGGAGGTGCTCATTTTCCACAATTTTCCCCGACCTGTGTGTGTGTGTGTGTGTGTGCTTATTTCTTGTTTGCTTCCCTTCGTCCTTGAACAGGAGTTGGAACCTTGGCTTGGAGCCTCAAAGTTTTCCAGATTATTAAATGCAATAAACATGATAAGCTAACGACTCAATTACATTCACAACATTATGTGTACGTGTGACTGCGTGTGTTTGCATGTATGTTTGTGTGTGTGTATTTAGGATGCACTTTCTTTTCGTACAAGGTGTAGAAGTTGGTCTACTCTGTTTTGTAAGTTTTTCTCGCCTTCGCTTCCAGCACCTTTAAGGAATCCACATATGTGACTTTCTGGGTATGCTCTAGGAAGGTGCTATGTATGTCTTGTTGACCCATTCGATTCTTGTGGATTTGGATATTGTGTATTGTATCTACAGAAATAGAAGAATTTATTCCGCCACCTTAATTTATTTTTCCTGAAGCGTTGAATTAGGAAATCTTTGTTAGAAAAATAGCTAGAATACACGGGTTCTTCAATTAAAGATTGATGGTAGTAATTCAGCAGAAATGTAGCATTTTATGTTCTTTTAAATTTTGCAGAACCAAATAGGTTCAGTTACATAGTATGCAGTTCCTTCCTTCCTGTTTCACGTCGCCAAGATTCTCCCCCTAACTTTCTCCGTTTTTCCAGGCTGATGCCACCCAAGCAAATCACCCTAATTCGATGTTCACTCGGCCGCACCTTGGCATTAGCCGAAGGCAAGTGAACCGAAAGTGGAGAAAAATTAGAATAATAATTAGAGTGTAAATACGAGTGCGGCGTAATCAAGCCAGCATGCGTTTCCGAACAGAAAGATGCACTTAGGCTGCTCAGGAAAGTGCAACGCAATGTGTGCAATTACTGCCGGAGTGGAAACGAAGAAAGAGAAAAAACAGCCCTAATCAGTCAGTCAAATGCGGCACGCTTTTCCAAACCAGAAAGGGAAAGCTTTTCCATTTTCCGCCTGGCTGAGAACGCTGAGTTGCCGCTACCGCGGTTCGGTTCCGAACAAGTGAATCAGGAAGGAAGGAATTTCTTTTTCGTTTCGTTCGGCTCTTACACTGCTCGGTTCGTTTTTATTTTATTAAATTTTATTAACTGCTGCGACTCAACTAAATCAATTTCGAGATGACTGCGAATGCCCGTAAAGTTTCATGACGTCTGGGTGAACCAGATTTGTGGGGTGGGGGAAAAAAAAGTTGCCGCCATCAGAACGAGTGTGAGGATAAAGTTTTTCCCCAGCTCTGCCATCTACGTCACCGCAAAAGGACGACCTTTGGTCGGTCGACCGGCCCAAGTGACGGTGGCTTTTGGTATAATCGTATTTATCGCTTGAACTCTCTTTCTCAGAACCGGTAGAGAAGTTGGCTGCCGACTGTTACCCGGTGGTAGTTTATTTTCATTTATTTAACGCTTATCCTCGTAGTTGTTTATATATTTTTTTTCTCCTAACTCTAGCTTGAACTGTGATGTTTTGGTGTATGTGTTGTTTATCTTTTAACTTAGTCTTTTCATTGGATTGCATAGACGGACACAGTTAAACCGTATAATATAATTATGCATGCTGGTCTCGCGCGCGCAATTACATGTCCTTATTCTCGTTTCACTATTAAACCAGAGCGGAACAGGAAGGAGTCAACCAGGGAGACGTTTGTAGTCATTTTTCATCAGCCATCCCCCACCCCCACACGTATGGATAAATGTATTTCGTTCGGGTGCTGCTAGAAGTGTGTTGTAGTTAGGAGCTCCTGCGATGAAAGCGCATAAATTTTCATTCACAAGTAACAACTTTTGCTCACAGTTGAAAAGCGGAACGGAATGGGGTTGGAAGTTTTGCTCCGTTTCACTGTTGCAGTACCGAAGCGGAGAGGATGTTGTGGATGTTTTTTGGAGAAACATCCGTGGTTTTAGATAACCTTTTAGAGCGCTCTTATTACGATGGCTTAGTCAACTTGCGCATGTTCTCAGCGTTTGACAAATAACATATTTGAACACCCAATCTTATGGTCCTTAAGATACATTTTTTTACACATCGAAATTGTATCACAACTCGAAAATGGAACTTAGCAAGTACCTTCTAGCGAAGACATCATATCAAGAATACTGGCAACTTTGCCAGACTCCAAGCGACAGATACAATAGCGCTGCGCTTGAGTGAAGGTGGAAGCAACACATAGGAAAATGAGCAAATACACAAATCTTTCTTCCGAGGATGTAATCGCGATTGTACCTGTCTTATAGCGTTCGTATGAGAAAATTGAAGAATTGCCAGTCTTCTTGATTTGTTGTCTTCGCTTCTAGCCAACATTTCGGTGGGATTATTTGTTTCAAATTTTTCTACCGGCCTACCACCTGATTTGTGAGTCTACAGCAAAGTTTTTTTTTATCTAGTTCGTTGCGCTCAATCAGCTTCACGGAGCCGATAATTCACTGTTCATTGTCTATAACAAAATTCACTTATTTCTGTGTCTAGTAGGAGTTGGGCCGAATACTCGCGGCTTAATCGAGGTTAGAGGGATTCATTGTCGAAGCATAGCTAACCAGCAAAGTTGTTCCTTAGGGGCTGTTCATTAACTACGTAGACAGTTTTTTTTAGATTCTTGCCCCCTCCCCCTCCCCCTGCATAGACAATTGTCGAAACACATTTTTTAAAATTTGTATGGGCCGTGGATAATTGCCACCCTCTCCCTCCTAAACTGTATACATAGTTAATGAACAACCTCTTATTTATTAAACCACAAGCTAAAAATTTCTGAGCTAAATCTAATATGGTTCATTCCAGCTAAAGTGGGTACAGAATATTAAAAAGTTGTGGTCGAAGCTACCGATTTAAGCCAAACTTGGCCATAACGCTTATTTTGATATTCTGAACCTTCTTTGATTTTGCTCTAAAGTGCCTAGATTTTTCTGGGCTATAACCCTGGATCTTTGAGATTTTTTTTTTTTTAATTTCAACTTTCAGAAGAGATTATTCCACAACCAAATGCTATTCGTGATCTTAGAACGTTAATTTAAATATTTTTTTTTTTAAATGTAGATTCTCATAGGTGTACCCACATTTTGGGTTTGTTATAGTAACTGTAGACTGATTACTGGTAGGTATCCAAATTGTCAAAAAATGGCCTATTTTCACCATGGGCGGGATTTTTTTATTTCTTAATATTTTGGGCTAAAATTTTCACCACACTTTGAAAAACTTTTCAACTAGAAGGGTAAATGATTTGGACAAATAGTTTTTGAGATATGACCAGATGAATGAGTGGTAGTTTTGAGGTTTTCTGGTGGAAAATCAATGCCATTTAATATTTTTTTTTGTCTTGAATTCCTTCACACCGATGGTACAATAATATTTTTATGTTATTTTTCACATGTTCTGGGCAGGATTCTCATCATATAAAATCATAACTAGCTATTTTTTTTACCTCTGTTCGGCACCTAACACCACTGCGACCAGTAATTTGATCTTTTGTAGTATATCCCGTGTCCTTAGTTTAGTGCACGTCGTATTACTCCATCACTATTGAGAAATGATGAAGTATTTGATTTTTTACAGTTGTCCTTCTCGCATTTATCGCATTTATTCGACTCTAATTGAAAGGTTCCGTTATTTATATCCTTCGGAGTGTTGAAACGCCCTCCAAAGGCGCGCCCCTTTGTCAGTCAAAATTGGATTCCTTAGCAACAAAATTAAGGAATGACATCGATAATGACCCTAGTCTTAACCACTTCAAACTAGGGAACAACGAATAGAAGATTAGGAATCACAGAGATGAAGACTAACTAGCTCATTTTTTTGCTTGTTTCAAGATCATCCTCGGTGGACAAAGCCGAGTCTTGTCACTATCAACAAGGCATAAAAAGTAACAAGGGCTAAAATGTGTTCCTTGGATTACTGAAAAATCCTGTTCCCCTAGTTTGAAGAAGTCAGGACTAGGAATCGGTGGTAGATCTTACATCCCGTAACGTACCACAAAAAGGTAATCTACCCACGTTACGGGGCAGCTATTTTATTTACTTCTGTCCATAATTTAATTGTGGTTCTAAAAGTGAAAAATACGTTCCTATGGGATACAGCAAAACGTTGTGCTTTAGAAGTACGATGAAATCAGATAGATTAGCAGGAAAATGGATACCTGCTGGTAATCATCCTGTTTACTGTAGTTACTACAACAAAACCAAAATGCGGGTACACCTTTAAGAATTATCATTAAAAAACCATCAAATTGACGTTCTAAGATCACGAATAGCTTATTTGTTTGTGGAGTAAGATGATTTTTTTTTAAATCTCGAAAATCAAGCGTTGCAGCCGAGAGGGATCTAGGTACTTCAGAGGAAAATCAAAAAAGGCATTTGTTCAGAATGCCAAAGTAAGCGTTTTGGCCAAGTTTGGCTCGAATAGGTGGCATCGACCATAGGTGGTGTTTCCACTTAAGCTGGAATGACATGTATAATGAACGAATTGTTATTGCTCGATCTTAACCTTAGCTCTCATTTTTGATTTGTGAGAAATCGACGATAGAAATCAAAACGCTCAATCAATAACGTTATATTCGTGGTATACATGTTTAAATTTTAAACCTAAAGTTTTAGCTCGTGTTACAACTAATATTGGGCAAGTTTA